TCATTCATTGAGACAATCAGTCGGCTTCCTGCTGCCTTCTGATCAAGATGTAGCCAGTACCACTTCTGTCTGCATGCTGCCATGCTCCCCAACATGATGATAATAAACTAAAACTCTGAAACTGTAAGCCTCCACCCCAATTAAATGTTTTCTTTGTTAGAGTTGCTGTGGGTCATGGTGTCTCTTCTCAGCAATAAAAAAAAAAACTAAGACAGTAATAAAGAAGCTGAAATCATAGATAGCTCATTGTTGAAGAAAAGCTCTTGAAGAGGAATTTTAAGTGTCTGTGATCACATTGCTTGTCCACTTGTCATTGGTTGCTCAGTCAGATTGTGATGGGGCAAACATGACTAGACCCTTCTACTCAGGATCATCTTCCACTCATCACCACTCTGGTAGCTCAAGTCCCTCTTAATTTGTCCTGTCCTCCACCCCCCTAAACCACTAAGTAAAGCTTGAAAAATTACAGGATACATAGTGGGCACATAGAGGGCAGGACAAATTAAGAGGGACTTGAGCTATTAGAGTGGTGTGGAAGACGATCCTGAGTCGAAGGGGCTAAACATAGTCTTTGTACAATTAATATATAGCAGGACTATAAATTTAAGAATTAAAATGGAGGGGGGGAAGGAAATTCTTTCTAATTCTGTCCTTGTTGATAGGACTTTTATCTTGTTTTTCCACTCTTGTGGCTTCTTTGGTTTACGACAGTCTTCAATCCCTCCCATGTCTTTGTCCTTTTTATAAAGGCACTGATTGTTGTCTATGGAAGGACCATTTTTATTCATTCTCTTGGTTCTTGACACAACCTTTTCCATTTTCCCTACAACATTCTGAGTGAGTGCTACTACATTTTCTGTTGTTCTTCAAATCCTTCTCTAGACCTCTGCTGTTATTAGCCTTAAGAGCAACTTCCACTATGTGTGAGATGTAAGTTCTTAAAGTACCATTCACATTTTGCCATTTTATTTTTATCTCAGGAGCAGTTGGGCTGATTAAAGTCATACTTATTTTTCTGGAATCTCTGTGCCACTGGTATGCCCAATAGCTACACATCAAAATTTCTGAGGGATACTCCCAATAATTTTATTTAATCTCCTATATTTTAAGATGCTTTCACTTTTCTCCAGTTGAAGTCGCATCAATGGGCATTGTATAATTTTAAAGGTACAGCAAACTACAACTATTTATATCTCACTTGGATTCTGCCCTAAGGAACTCCTGCTAGCTGTGGTTTGGCAGGACTGTTGAATCTGATATAAGTATGGGATATCTGTTCTTCTGACTTGCTTTCTCAGGAACCACTGGGGTTACTTAGCTAATATAATGTTCTCGAAAACCTGAATATCAGTCCAAAGGAGTGATTTGGTTGATAGTCAGGGCAGAGCAATTGCCAGCACTATTTGGAAAAGTTGTGGTGGCAGAGCACTGGTAAATTTAGAACATAAGTTATTTCTCCTATTTTGTGTGGGGAGTATAGGCTGGGATTGTTGACTGCTGAAATAAACCTGTGCCTTTGCACCTATCAGGTTCTTTCTGATAAAGTAACATGAAGGCATCTATGCAACAACTTCTTCCCATTTTCCTTTTGCCTTGTACAATTCTCATAGCTGAAGGACATGGTGATCACTGAGGGTCCTGCTTCTCAGCCATTTTCCTCCAGAACATGAAGTATACCGAGAGCAAATAAGATTACAAAGGAAGACCTTTTTCTTTTTTGTTTTTCATGGGCTCCTAAGTGAAAGTAGTCCATCTAACCCACAGCTGAAAGCCGCAATCAGGACTAAAGTGGGTTGCTTAAGACCCACAAAACACACCACATGAAACAATGATTCCTGCAGAAGAGAAACAAAAGAGAAAAACCAATAGCACCACATAGTTCCTGAAAGCAAGAGACCTTTGGTCCCATAGCCTTGAAGGTACCTGTGTTTGAAACCTAAGAAACCAAATACAATGGGGTAGCTCACACAACTGGTTGAAATCAAAAGCACATTGAAGCTTAGAAGTTACACTACTCAAAAGGGTTTTGTGCCAAGGTTTCTTCCCCCCAGAGAAGAAAACCTTGAGAAATCTCCAGAACAAATAGCATTCCTGAAGCTTCAGGTGTTCCTCTGGTGTCTGACCTGGTGTGATCTCCCAACCAACCCACCATGATCACAAAACTTATGGCTGGTTCACTGTATTTTTATACAAAATCCAAGGAAGAGTCAGGTGCCTAATATGCCATACAAACTAAAAATGTAGAGAAATAGAAACTCAAGGAAAGTAACAACTGGGAAGGGTGGGGACACGACCTCAAATCCCCCTCCAGCCATGATTGTGGGCTATATAAGATGAAAGATCATCGGGATAAAACTGGTAGCCTCACAAGTTATAAGAAGTTATAAGGAAATCAATAGTTCCAGAATTCTCAATACCAGTGGACATCTGGTATACCGTTTAGCAATGCACAGTTCTGAAAACTAAGCTTGTAAATGACCTGTGACGTGCTTTTATTTTTATTGATTTCAATATGAGGCACCTAATTGTCCGTCCCACCACCTCTTCATACAAATCCTTCTTTTTTGACCACATTCTGAGCAGCAAGTTGCCTTTTAAAAACTAGTATTATACCATTTTCCTGCTCAGAGTCTTACAAGTGCATAGTGTTGAACAAGCATTGGAACTCTTACACCTTCAACTCATATTCATCTGGCTAGTCACCCACTTTCAGCTTTGAGGGCTTCCTGCTATCCTTCCAGTTCACTGGGCTTGTTTTGACCACAGGACCTTTGTGCTGGCTCATTTCTCTTCCTAGCATTCTCATTGCTTTAGCAATTACATACTTAAGTGTTATCTCTTCTGAGAGATCTCACGGGGAAGCTGATGGAGAAAGCACCTCACATCCCATCAACTCTCGTAATTTGGTTACTTCTTTTGAGCATCATATCAAGTGCTGATGTATTTTTATCGCCCTCATTATATGTAAGCTCTATGAGAGCCAATAGTTTGCCTTGTACTTAGAATAATCTTTGTTTTGAATACTCCATAAACACTGGTTGAATGAATTAACTAATCATAAGTTATTGACTATTACAGAAGCTATCATACATGTAGAATCTATTTAGTTGATAGACACTATATAATACTGTTTTTTAAAATGTGAATTAAGTGAAACCTCTTATGCATTATATGATTTCATATAAAAATGCAATTTCTGATTTTAGAAAAATTAAGGAATTTTTATATTTGAGGTTCCTTAACAAATAGCACATGATGCTTATTAGACAGAGACAATCCCGGAGCTCACCACTACTTATGACCTTCCTGACACCAGTGACTGGCTTGCACTGGCTCCCCCTTCATGGCTTTGTTAAGATACCTGGCCCTGTAAGTTTCCAAACCCTACATTAAGTACATATGTGGAAAGTCTCCCAACCTTTGTTCCATGCATCTGTGTAATTTTTGTATCCAATTTAGACATTAAATCGGCCTTGTGTTCATTCTTCCGATCTCAGTCATAATGAGGCATGCACTGTAGCTTGTGGTCTCATGCTAGTGACAAAATGTCTGCTGAGCTTGACAAACTCACTGGAGTCTCTGTTACCAGTAAAAGGGTAGAGACATCCCACTTCGTTTCAGAATCCTTCTCACTTTTGTAAGGTTGTTTTCTTAAAAAGAGTTTTCAAAACTCAGATTATAAATATTTTTCTTTGCTTTCAAAATATCATGAATATTAGATCCAGATGTCTTCCTGAAGTGATTCATTTACCAGCGTGGAGCACCCAGTGTCTAAGAAGGAAAGGGGCTACATTAATAGTAGATGTTGAAGCCAGATAAAGAGAAATACATGTATAAATATGGGAAGAGAAAGAACCATGTCCCTTTGCTTGGTACCTATGTGTTTTAGCAGCGTGAGTATTTGCCAAGCTCCTGCTGTATGTCAGACACCATTGGAAGCAATTGAGGAACTCATACTCTGTCTCGCCCTCCAGAGAGTCAGACAGCAAAAACTAAACAAGCAATAAAGTAACTTTTATTTGAAATAAGAGTTAGTAAGGACTATAATGAAAAGGAATGGAGAGGAGGGAGAAGGGTGTAGAGAGTTCTGGTCAGTGGCTGGAGTAGCAGTGTGATCTAGGTAGGTCCTGTGGGGAGAGATCTGAGCAAGACCTAAAGAAGGTGAGAGAAGGCATGTCTATCTTTAGTGAGAAGACAGTGGGGGTAAAGAATGGCATAGACCAAATACCCTGTAGCAGGCAGGTGTGTTCGGGTAACAGTGTGGCTGCTCTGGCTGAGTTAGTTAAGTAAACTGACTACTGATAAAAACAAGACCTCGGGTACACATGATGCTCTCTACAGAGTACTGTCCTACAGGGGCAGTCCAGTCTTCTCCACATAAGTCTATTTATCTTTTTGTTTAACAAACTCATGTTTTAACAATGTCATGACTTGAGGTTTGAGGCTTTATGAAATATGCACGTTCTATTTTTTAAAGGGGCATTAAGCAACTGGGGCCATTGGCCTTGCTGATGAGATCCTGACAAAGCCACCATCTACACACAATGGCCTCACAAACTGGCTGCACTTGTGTTATTCCGAACATAGTCTCCTGTTTTATATAAGGACACGGGTGCTTTTCTTTTTTTTTTTCTTTTTTTAAAATTTGAATTAGAAACAATATTGTTTTACATGTCAATCCCAGTTCCCTCTCCCTCCCCTCCTCCTCTACAACACCCCCAACTAAAACCCTACCTATTACATATCCTTTCTGCTCCCCCTGGAGGGTGAGGCCTTCCATAGGGGGTCATCAGAGTCTATCGTGTCCTTTGGGATAGGGCCTAGGCTCACCCCCGTGTGTCTTGGCTCAGGGCGTATCCCTGTATGTGGAATGGGCTGACACGGGTGCTTTTCAAAGGGTAGTCCTTCGCACTGCCTGGTATTCACCTGCACTAAGTAGTCAGTTCAGAGGCGGCCTTGGGAGAGCCTCTCTAACAGAATTTTATGTCTCCTCTACACAGCTGCTTGCAGAAGACTGGCCATTTGGAGCTGAAATGTGTAAGCTGGTGCCCTTCATACAGAAGGCTTCTGTGGGAATCACTGTGCTAAGTCTATGTGCTCTAAGTATTGACAGGTAAGAGTCTATTCTTAGGCCAAGGAGATCCTAAACATCATATAACTGCTATGTTACTTAGGGGGTTAGCTATGCAATTCAATAAAACCAAGCTCCATCTGCTTCAAAAAATAACTCTGTTTACATCTTCAGATATCGAGCTGTTGCTTCTTGGAGTCGAATTAAAGGAATTGGGGTTCCAAAATGGACAGCAGTAGAAATTGTTTTAATTTGGGTTGTCTCTGTGGTTCTGGCTGTCCCTGAAGCCATAGGTTTTGATATGATTACGACAGACTACAAAGGAAAGTCTCTAAGGGTCTGCCTGCTTCATCCAGTTCAGAAAACAGCCTTCATGCAGGTAAGTTTACTTTGCTTTTTCTTTCTGCACTTTCCTTATAAATATTTAACTATTTTCCCTAGTTCCCCATCTTGGTAAGCTATTGATTTATGACTACCTTTGGCATAAATTAAGAGTTTGGATCCCAAGACTATGAGGTTAACCATTACTAATGACCCAACCTGCAAGAATCAGGATAATTACTTCTCCAAGAACACCCTAGATAGCAGGGATCCAGATAAATCAGGTTCCTACAAGAATGGCTGTGGCTTTATAGCTTTTGTATCTAAAGTCTCATGAAGATAGATCACTACTGTATAACCTACAGAAGACAACCCAACATAGTCGGAGAAGCTGATGGTTTAACTATGCTTAAATTGAAGATACCTGATAGTATGGATTTGGAATGGCAGCCTGTCCCTTCATCCCTGTGTGTGTGTGTGTGTGTGTGTGTGTGTGTGTGTGTGTGTGTGTGTGTGTGTGTGTGTGTGTCTCTCTATTAAAGAAGTTTTGATCAGAAAGTAGCAAAAGAATGGGGATATTAGTCTCTAAAAGATAGATCCTAAGTATAAGAGGGTTTTTTTTCCTACAGAATTGGCTAATACAAAGGGGGCTGGCCTAATTATCACCAAGGACTATTTTCTATTTTACATGGGAAAAGTTTACATAAACTCTAGTTACTATGCATTAAATAATAAGTAAAAGAACAAAGGTAGACACCAATGTGAAATAGAGAATAAGGTTGTTGTTTACTAAAAGGGGAGTACCACATCAGGGTCATAAAGTCATTTCTAACATGGCTTTATCTGGATTGGTAATGTTTTTGAAAGGGTAACAGCAGAAAAGAACACAGGAAAGGTAAAACTCACAAGTGCTTTCTATGTATATTGTGTTCTGTCTGCATATATGTTTGCGTGTCAGAAGAGGGTACCAGATCTCATTATGGGTGGTTGTGAGCCACCATGTGGTTGCTGGGAATTGAACTCAAGTCCTCTGGAAAAGGAGCCAGTGCTCTTAACCTCTTAGCCATCTCTCCAGCCCTTATAAGTGCCTTCTAAATTGACATCACATGTATATACTATGCACTCCCCGAATGGTTAATACAGATTTCTTTGCACCTATTTTTCACACTAAACACACTTAGTAGAGAGGGAAATCTTTACTCAAATACTGTGATGAGTTTATATACTTAACACTAATAATACCTAAAATGCCAAATATTTGATTATTCAAAGTTTTATCTTCACATAAGAATGTTGTTCAGTTGCTTAAAGCTTACTATACTGTCCCCAAGAACTGAAATATGTCCTGTAATGTTCATTTCATTTAATATAGTCCTTTAGTTATGTGTTCAGTAGATATCATCCAAGAAATTCTATGAAATGTATGAAAGATCTGTTAAACATTATTGTACTTTTATGAACCTATTTTGGTTTTAGTTGACATTTGATACTTAAGGTTTTTTAAGGAAAATATTAATCATAAAAATTCCCTCTTCCCCATAGTTTTACAAGACAGCCAAAGTTTGGTGGCTGTTCAGTGATACTTAAGGTTTTTTTAAAGAAGATATTAATCATGAAAATTCTCTCTTCCTCATAGTTCTACAAGACCGCCAAAGATTGGTGGCTGTTCAGTTTCTACTTCTGCTTGCCACTAGCTATTACTGCAATCTTTTATACCTTGATGACCTGTGAGATGCTGAGAAAGAAGAGTGGCATGCAAATCGCTTTAAATGATCACTTAAAGCAGGTAAGAGAACGCAAGGATCTGGTAGCTCCTGGCCATAATGATGGTCACAAAGATAAAGTTCCTGACGATAGGGATGGAGATTGACTAACATTAGACACTAGAGCATAGTTTCACTTTCCTCCTTCATTCCACTATTGTAACAAAAAGATATTCCATATTACTTAGTCAGAGACTATGCATATCATCTAAAAGGACCCAGAGAGAACCATTACCTTTTTGTTGCTGTTTTGTTTTAAGATAGAAGCTCAGGTAGCACAGGCTAGCCCCTCAGGTTTGACCTGGAACGTTAGATCCTTCTGCTTCTGCCTCTCAGTGACGCACGCACGCTCTTACACTCACATACATATATATACATTCACACATAATACATAATTTTTAGACTTATTTCCCGTTGGATAAATGTTTTGCCTATAGGCATATGCACCACATGTCTGGTACACATCGAGCTCAGAAGGGAGCATTGAATCCTCTAGAACTGGAGTGACTGATGTTTGTGAGCCACTATGTGAGTTCTTGGAATCGAGCCCACTGAAAAGCAACAAGTGCTCTAAGCTTCGGAGCCATCTGTCCATCCCTCAAACCCTTACTTTTTAAAAGATGAATCCATATTGTTATGGATCCATATATGTTAATTCTAATTCACACTATCTAATTGAAAGCTCATTGACCTGAGTCTATGTTTTTGTAAATACTATTAAATATCCTGTTTGAGGAGGGCACACGTGCTGTGAACACCAAAGGGTAGATTTATAAAAGCTTGTGGTCCTTTTCAGAGACGAGAAGTGGCCAAAACTGTGTTCTGCCTGGTCCTCGTTTTTGCCCTCTGTTGGCTTCCCCTCCACCTCAGCAGGATTCTGAAGCTCACTCTGTATGACCAGAGTGACCCTCACAGATGTGAACTTTTGAGGTAAGAAAGGAAGAATACAATGGAGCTGGGACACATGTGACATGAACTGGGTAGTGTTGACTATTGGAGGGAAACCAACAAGCAGAAGACAAAAGGTAGGGAAGGTGCTGAGGGAGAGTTGAAAAGAGCAACATGTGTTGACATTCGTGAACACCCTAGGATGAAACTCATTAATCTGAATGCTAACTTAATTTTTTAAAAAAGAAAAAATAGAAGTAATTATGTAATTGCCATTCAGATGTTTCCCCATCAGTCCTCCTAACGGGCAGAAAGAATTCTATTTTCTTATCCTTAGAGGCCAATTAAGACTCCAAATTTAACCTTCACTCTTGTTTTAGATGGATGAATGAAAGGGGATGAAAAGAAAAAACCTTGGGAATATAGGCACAGAGTTGTCAGAATGATGAGTGAGTGGCAAGAGGAAAAGTCTCAGATCGGAATCGTCATTATGCACATAAATCCGTTCTTTTCTGAAAGTCTCGTCATTTCCAAATGAGAATTTTAGTTTTAAAAGGAGAGCTGTATGTGGAAGATAAAGATAGGAGAGGGCAGTGTAGACGAAAAGACAGAATGAGAGAAAGAAAAGCATTTGGAGACATGAAGACAGACACCTCTATTAGCAAATCAGTGGTTAAACTAAAATCACTGGATGTGGGCGATTCTGGTTCTCTTCATGAAAACACAAAGGTGTGCATTAAATATATACTTGAAACATAATTTTTGCATTTTGGGCTTCTTGCAGTTTTTTGTTGGTTTTGGACTACATTGGTATCAACATGGCTTCTTTGAATTCCTGCATTAACCCAATCGCTCTGTATTTGGTGAGCAAAAGATTCAAAAACTGCTTTAAGGTAAGAGAATAGTCCAAAATAAAATGTTTCCTGTGATCTGGCATCAACTATAGGCCCACAGAACTACTAATATTTCTATCTAGAGAGAGCTGGCAAATTGCTAATTTTCACTGCAGTGAAACATATATGCTGTTTTAAAATACCACTTTCGTATATAAAGCACTATAGTAAATATTTGCTTGCAAATCCTTGTCAGTAACCACCCATGCCTTAGCCACTCACTAATACTATTGGAACTGCTAAGATTAATAAGGTTACGTGAACTGATAACCAATGTCATGTTACATGCAGTGATAACCAATGTCATGTAGTAAAATAAAGATGAAAAGGCTGATGCACTGTTCCTCTTATTTTGGTAGATTTTTTTCTTGCTCAGCTATAATTTCTTTTATAAACAAGTTAATTGCCTCTTTTATGGGCTATGGGAATAAAGTCAAGGGCTAGGAGATGCCTCATCAGGTAAAAGTGTTTGCTCTACAGGAGCTTCCAAGTTTAGAACCCATGTGAAAAGTCAGGCATGCTGTGCTTGGGGTGGTGGCATAGCCCCTAAATCCCACCGCTTGGGAGGTAGAGGCAGACAGATCTCTGTGATTTCAAAGCCAGTCTGATTTACATAATAAGATCCTGTCTCAAGACACCAAAAACAGAGAAAGATATCAGACGTAGCTGCTTACATGCCTATAGTTCTAGGACTGGAGGTAAGAGGAACAAAAGTATCACTGGCTAGGAAGACACTAGCCTAGCTCCGTGTTCAGTAGGAGAACATGTCTTAAGGGAATAAGGTGGAGGGGACAGATTAGGATGCTCAATGGCCTTCTCTGGCACATACATCGTAGACATACCACACACACACACTCACACACCACACACACACACTCATGTACACACATACACACACACACATACACACACACTCACACACACATACACACACAC